ACACATAACTGCAGCTGTGTATACGTGTTCTTCAGCAGTCATCATCATTGTCAATCTCCAATTATGCCTTTAAGCGTTGTGGGGAGGAACAGTCTGCGATCCACTTCTTGATGGGCAACAATAGATGTTGTCATTTCGAGTCTATGTAGAAGCTCTTTAACGTCATCAATCCGTCTTCTTCTAGGGCGGCCTCTTGATTTCCCTTCGGATCTTTTTTGTGTAGCGACCGTGTCGGTAGTTGTTCTGGCTGCGTTCTTACTAAATGGCTTACTAAATTTGCTGTTTCTCAATGAATTTGGTGCATTGTTTTGTTGCTGCAGTCAGCAGGGGAGTCAGGAATAAGCACCGTTGGATTTGTACTTCTTGTAATGACGTTGGTGATGCGTTTATTGTTCTTATGTTTGAAAACTTATGACACCTTGTAGGAATCTTTTCAAATATGTTAGAAAAAAGCATCCAGTGATTCCTTGAGGAAAACTTTGACAACAGCAGAGGCCATCTTCTTGTGAGCGGTACAGGGTTGGTTCTTTGGTGACAATTTTGAAAGACATAACTTTCGACACCATATGCCATGTTCAGTTAGAATGTATGTTTTACAGAAAGAGGGAGATGAAAGATGAACTCTATTAATCATAAATCATGAGAAATGAGACGGGAGAATGAGGAGAAGACAAATGAAAGTCAGATAATGCAGGCTGGGGCAAAATAATGATAGAAATCGAAAGAAGGGGAAATGAAAAGAAAGTAAGTAGGACGCGGAGCAGAAAAGCAACACGAAATGATAGCTTTGAAACCTCTATTTATATGCCAGTCTGTTTCCCTGCCAGCCTCTCTTATCTGTGTGTCTGCCTCTATGATTGTCTGCCTTTCTTTCTGTGTGTCTGCACGTATGTCTGTCTTGTCTCCCTGCCAGTCTGTCTGTCTATGTGTCTTTGTCTGATTGTCTGCCTTTCTTTCTGTTTGACTGTGCGTATCTGTCTGTGTGTCTGTCTGTCTGTCTAATTTTGCATGTATTTTCTCATAACTCACATATAGTATAAATGCCCAGAAGTCATACCAAGTTCACTGCTAAATGAATTATTCAAAAATATAGACCATGTAATTACTGTACGAATTTTGAACGAATAGGGGCGCAGTAAATGAGACAGGCCTGCGGGCCCAATTTGTGACCCTTTAAAAATACAAGTTTGATGGTTCGTTTTCTGTGTGCATGCGTGTCTGTGTATACCAGTTGCATGCTTGTACACGTAAAACACAGGCATTAGCACACATCCTGTATAGGTTCGATCAGGCGACGCGCCATTCTCGACCACACCCTGAACCCTTCTAAATATAATTTCTAGTCAGGCTAGCCGGAATATAAGGGTTGGCACAATAAGTTTACCCCCTCCCTCCAGCAACAAATTGTTTTAGGTGTCGCCTAAGCCCATACATTAGGGGCTTTTGAGCTGAAATGCTATGCAAAGATTCTTAGAATGTCAACACACACAAAAATGAAACCGTAGAAGATCTGAACATCAGGGAAGATTGGCTAATAAACAGCATCTTTTCTTGAAAAGTGAAATATTTTGGCTATATCAAACGCCACGGCGGATTGGAAAGCGCTGTAGATAAAGACATTTGCCAGGAAAGAGGGGCAGGGGTCGACCAACACGAATGTGGGTACAGGACATAAGAGATACCTTGCCGTGGTTAGGAAACTGCACAAGGCGGAAGATCTGGCGAGAGACCGAGTTTCTTTCATACAGGCTGTCGAAAGAGCAACGTTACATGACGACTGAGCCTTCTTGAGAATCGAAGCGCCACAACCCCCCCCCTCCCTTACCTCTTCTTTCCCTCTTTTGTTTTCCAACAGCCTTGTGTAGAAATTCTAATTTTAAATAATTGCTTAAAATTATCACATGATGTCAAATATATTGTTATATTTATTGGCTATTCGGAAGTTAATAATAACAATAATTATTACCAGCTCATCCAGCCTCCTTCCGCAACCTCCTAGAAAATATATAAAGGGTCTGGACACCCCCTCCCCCCCCCCCTATGTTTTTCTTTGGGTCGGCACGCCTGTGTCTAACCTGCGTGTGTTCGAGACAAGCCATTAATTGTGGTTTGAAAAAACTGGCACATCGTGTAGCCTCACTGCAGTTTGTATCGATTTCTTGTAATCCCCCGTGAGTCATTTCTTGTTGCTGCTTTCTCTGTAGCTGTATTAAACATGAAATGCTGTCTGTGTTTTACAGTCTGGGAGGCAATATGGGATTGGGGGAGGGGGGAATTTGTAACTGTCTTGAATGTTTATATTTACAACCTTATAGGGCCAGATAGGACGTGGAAGGATACTTTTGGGCCCTGGGATTTGTGGCCACATATGCAGTCATCGCAAAATATTTTAAGTTGGAATTTGTGTTTGTTTATCCCTTCTTCTTCTTCTTCTTCTTCTTCTTCTTCTTCTTCTTCTTCTTCTTCTTCTTCTTCTTCTTCTTCTTCTTCTTCTTCTTCTTCTTCTTCTTCTTCTTCTTCTTCTTCTTCTTCTTCTCTCTTCTTCTTCTTCTTCTTTCTTCTTCTTCTTCTTCTTCTTCTTCTTCTTCTTCTTCTTCTTCTTCTTCTTCTTCTTCTTCTTTCTTCTTCTTCTTCTTCTTCTCTTCTTCTTCTTCTTCTTCTTCTTCTTCTTCTTCTTCTTCTTCTTCTTCTTCTTCTTCTTCTTCTTCTTCTTCTTCTTCTTCTTCTTCTTCTTCTTCTTCTTCTTCTTCTTCTTCTTCTTCTTCTTCTTCTTCTTCTTCTTCTTCTTCTTCTTCTTCTTCTTCTTCTTCTTCTTCTCTTCTTCTTCTTCTTCTTCTTCTTCTTCTTCTTCTTCTTCTTCTTCTTCTTCTTCTTCTTCTTCTTCTTCTTCTTCTTCTTCTTCTTCTTCTTCTTCTTCTTCTTCTTCTTCTTCTTCTTCTTTCTTCTTCTTCTTCTTCTTCTTCTTCTTCTTCTTCTTCTTCTTCTTCTTCTTCTTCTTCTTCTTCTTCTTCTTCTTCTTCTTCTTCTTCTTCTTCTTCTTCTTCTTCTTCTTCTTCTTCTTCTTCTTCTTCTTCTTCTTTCTTCTTCTTCTTCTTCTTCTTCTTCTTCTTCTTCTTCTTCTTCTTCTTCTTCTTCTTCTTCTCTCTTCTTCTTCTTCTTCTTCTTCTTCTTCTTCTTCTTCTTCTTCTTCTTCTTCTCTCTTCTTCTTCTTCTTCTTCTTCTTCTTCTTCTTCTTCTTCTTCTTCTTTTCTTCTTCTTCTTCTTCTTCTTCTTCTTCTTCTTCTTCTTCTTCTTCTTCTTCTTCTTCTTCTTCTTCTTCTTCTTCTTCTTCTTCTTCTTCTTCTTCTTCTTCTTCTTCTTCTTCTTCTTCTTCTTCTTCTTCTTCTTCTTCTTCTTCTTCTTCTTCTTCTTCTTCTTCTTCTTCTTCTTCTTCTTCTTCTTCTTTCTTCTTCTTCTTCTTTTCTTCTTCTTCTTCTTCTTCTTCTTCTTCTTCTTCTTCTTCTTCTTCTTCTCTTCTTCTTCTTCTTCTTCTTCTTCTTCTTCTTCTTCTTCTTCTTCTTCTTCTTCTTCTTCTTCTTCTTCTTCTCCTTCTTCTCCTTCTTCTTCTTCTTCTTCTTTTTTTCGTTCACCAGCTGTAAACTCTGGCGGAAAGTTCTGGTTGTTCATCCACTTCTGGACGGCAGTCCTGTTCCAGAACCTGAGTGTTGCGTGTGCATCCGTTTGACACATCTGACTCATTTGTATGCAGACTGCTGGTTCCTTGCCTCTCAGGCAGATGCACTCCGACTTCGAAGGAAGCTCCCAATTAGTCGACTCTTACGACATGCTTTTGGGTAGGCAGTGGGTCTATTCTTGTCCCTGAAGGGGGAGCTTCCAGCGTTTTAACGTTTCGCCCAGTACATGCTGGAAATGTTTGTACTGTATATGCGCGCGCGCATACACACATACGCAGAAAAAGATAGAGAAAGAAAGAGAGGATGTGACATACAGACAGACAGACGGACCGACCGACCGACCGACCTACGGACGGACGGACGGACGGACCGACCGACTGACAGACAGACAGACCGACCGACCGACCGACAGACAGACAGACAGACAGACCGACAGACAGACCGACCGGCCGACAGACAGATAGACCGACAGACAGACAGACAGACAAAAATTTATCGTATCCCTATCTCCGCCCCTCCCTCTTCATAGTCCTATGCCAATTGTTTTGCCCGTTAGAAACAGAATCCGTTGTTTTCTGCGGTCTTTGCTGAGGCGGGATGAAAGCTTGAGATATACGCACATTCACTCAACACAAACAGCTAACGTGGTTTACGTTATGAACTGCAGATCTGAAAATGGACAGTGGCCTGTTCTATAGAACAAACAGGTTGTGCATTGTTAGATTAATTGCGTGTGCAACTACTGAACTGTTGTAAATACTGCTTCCATTGACGAGGAACTGCATATCTCTAGTGCCGGCATGTTTGTGTTGGCACGCCTGATGGCTGCCTTATGGATATAATTCCTGTGTATGTATCCTGTTGGCTTTGCTGAGGCTGCAGTCTGTGTCATTTTTTCCACAGTGATGGACATTCTTTGGGGTGTTTTGGCCATGAAGTGGAAACTACGATTACCCACTGCCCGCAATAAGCGTGACTCTCTAATGTAGTTTCTAAAAAGGGAGCCGCTGTGATCCAGTGGTTAGACGTTTATCTATCGGCCAAATGTCGTTGGTTCGAATCGGCACCGGGCGTATTTTTACGGTTGATTTAGAGCTTCCTGGATGTCCAATTCTAAAATAGGTGCTAGGAAATATCGAAGGAAGTAGAAGCGGCCCTCGTAATATTAACCATCCCACATAACGAATGCCGATTGTTCTATAAAAATATGGATCTAGCTTTATAGCCTAATTCACCTGACGTAAGTCCTTCACATTTTGTGTTTTGTTTTTGTGTTTGTAGTTTCACCGGTGTTCTGTATCCTAATATGGCCAAAATATGTTTCAG